CGGAGTACGTTCTTCGAAGTCTCTTTTTTCGGGATCTCTTTTTGGAGCCTCTTTCGAACTCTTCGAAGTAACTTCTTCGAAACAAATTTTATTGAAGTCTTTTTTTCGGAATCGTCTCTTTGTTAGGTTTTCTTGTCAAGTCATCTTTTTTCGAAGTATTTTTTTGAAGTCGTATCTCTTTCGGAGCATGTTTTTCGAATTCTCTTTCGAAGTATTTTTTCGAAATTTCGTTTTGCGAAGTCGTCTATTTTTGAAGTCGTCTTTTTTCGAAGCTTCGTTTTCGGGATCTCTTTTTCTGGGGTTCCTTTTTCGAAATTTCTTTCGGACCCATTTTTTGGAGTACCTTTTTTGAAGTATCTTTTTCGAAGTCGTCTCTTTCAGAGTCTCTTGTGTGGACCTTTTTTTACAGTATCTTTTTCGAAGTACCTTCTCCTTGACGTCTCTTTTTCGGAGTCGTCTCTTTCTCAGGTTCTGTTTTCGAGTCGCTTGTTCGGAACCGTCTCTTTCTTTGGTTTTCTTTCTCGAAGTCGTTTCTCTCGGACTCTTATTTCTTCAGAGTATCCTTTTTGAAGTCTCTTTTTGGGAGTCGTTCCTTTCTCTGGTTTTCTTTCCGCGTTTCTTGTTCGGACCTTTTTTTTCTTTCTCGAAGTCGTCTCTCTCGGACTCTTATTTGTTCAGAGTATCTTTTTTGAAGTCTCTTTTTGGGAGACGTCCCTTTCTCTGGTTTTTTTTCCGCGTCTCTTGTTCGGACTTTTTTTTTCAGAGTACCGTCGTCAAAGTCCTTTTCTCCGAGCTGTTTCTTTTTCAGAGCCGTCTCTTTCTCACATTTTTTTGTGTCGCTTTTTAAGAGTCGTCTCTTCCTCAGCACCCCTTTTTCGAGCCTCTTTTGGAGCCATTTTTTTTTTCAGAGTCGTCTCTTTCTTGAGTTCTTATTTCGTCTCTTTTTTAGGACCTCTTTTTTCGGAATATTTTTCCCGAAATTTCGTTTTTCGGAGTACCTCCTTCGAAGTTTCTTTTTTCGGGATTTCTTTTTCTGGGATTCCTTTTTCGAAATCTCTTTCGAACCCATTTTTCGGAGTACCTTTTTTGAAGTATCTTTTTCGGAGTCGTCTCTTTCAGAGTCTCTTGTGCGGACCTTTTTTTACAGTATCTTTTTCGAAGTACCTTCTCCTTGACGTCTCTTTTTCGGAGTCGTCTCTTTCTCAGGTTTTGTTTTCAAGTCTCTTGTTCGGCATCGTCTTTCTCAGGTTCTCTTTTCGAGTCTCTTTCCTTGTAACTCTTTTGGAGTCATCTCTTTTTTGCAGTCCTTTGTCCGAGTTCTTTCTTACTCAAATATTCTTTTCAAATGTCTTTTTCGGATCCTCTTTTTCGAATCGATTCGAATTTTTAGGAGCATTTATTTCGAAGCTTTTTTTATCCGGAGGCTCGTTTTCGGACTCTTCGGAACGTTTTATTAGCAACTCTTTTTTTCGAAGTCGTCTTTCTGTCGGCGTCGTCTCTTTTATCGGAGCATCTTTTCGGACTCTGTTCGGAGTATCTTTTTCGGAGTCGTCTCTTTCTTGGATTTTCTTTTCGAGTCTCTTTTTCGGGCCCCTTTTTTCAGAATATGGTATGCGCTATTTCTTTCGTAGTCGTATTTTCTGAGAAGTCCCTTCGTACCTTTTTTCGGAGTCTCTTTTTTTGGAACCATTTCTTTTTCGGAGTTGTCTTTTTTTCGACGTCGTTTCTTTTCCGAAGTCGTCTCTCTCAGTCGTATTTTCTCCGGAGTCTCTTTTTCGGACACTTTTCGGGGTATCATTTTCGGAGTTCTTTTTTCGAATCTCGTTTTCGTACCTTTTTATTCAGAATATTTTTTTCGCAATCTCTTTTTCGGAATCGCATCTCTTTCGGAGTCTTCGAAGTCCCTTCGGTCCTTTTTTCGGAGTATCTTTTCTGAAGGCTCTTTTTTTCGCAACCTTCTTTTCCTCAGGTTCTCTTTTAGAGTCTATTTTTTAGACTTTTTTGTCAGAGTATCTTTTTCGAGGTCTTTTTTCGGATACTCTTTTTTGGAGCGGTCTCTCTTAGCGGAGTCGCATTTTTTCGGAGCATCTATTTCGAAGTTTTTTTTTATCCGGAGTTTCTTTTTCGGACTCTTTTCGGAGTATTTTGATGGTAAACCCTTTTTTGGGGGTCGTCTTTTTATTCGAAGTATTTTTTGCGGAGTCGTGTCTCTGTCAGCGTCGTCTCTTTCCCATATTTCCCTTCCGAGTTTCTTCTTCACACTCTTTTCGGGGTATCTTTTTCTGAATTGTTTCTTTCGTAGCTTTTCTTTTCAAGCCTCTTTTTCGGAGTCGTATTTTCTTCGAAGTCCTTTCGGACTTTTTTTCGGAGTATCTTTTCTGAAGTTTCTTTTTTTTCGGAAGCATGTTTTTCTCAGGTTTTCTTTTAGAGTCTATTTTTTAGACCTTTTTTTCAGAGTGTCTTTTTCGAAGCCTCTTTTGGAAGTCTTTTTTCAGAGTTTCCTTTTTGGAGCGGTCTCCATTTCGGAGTCTCTTTTTTTGGAGCGGTCTCCTTTTCGAAGTCGTCTTTCTGTCGGCGCCGTCTCTTTCATGGGAGTTTCTTTTCGAACTCTGTTCGGAGTATCTTTTTCGGAGTCGTCTCTTTCTTGGATCTTCTTTTCGAGTCTCTTTTTCGGGCCCCTTTTTTTCAGAATATGGTATGCGCTATTTCTTTTTCGGAATCGTATCTCTTTCGTAGTCGTATTTTCTGAGAAGTCCCTTCGTACCGTTTTTCGGAGTATCTTTTTCGAAGTCTTTTTTGAGTCTCTTTTTTGGAACCATTTCCTTTTCGGAATCGTCCCTTTTTCAGAGTCGTATCTTTCGGAGTCCCTTTTTCGGAGTGGTCTTTTTTTCGAAGTCGTCTCTCTCAGAGTCGTATTTTCTCGGAGCATCTATTTCGAAGCTTTTTTTATCCGGAGTCTCTTTTTCGGATACTTTTCGGGGTTTCATTTTCGGAGTTCTCTCTTTTTTACATTCTCTTTTCGAATCTCTTTTTCGTACCTTTTTATTCAGAATATTTTTTTCGGAATGGTATCTCTTTCGGAGTCGTATTTTCTTCGAAGTCCCTTCGGACCTTTTTTCGGAGTGTCTTTTCTGAAGGCTCTTTTTTTGGGGACCTTCTTTTCCTCAGGTGCTCTTTTAGAGTCTATTTTTTAGACTTTTTTTTTCAGAGTATCTTTTTCAAATCCTCTTTTCGAGGTCTTTTTTCGGAGTCTCTTTTTTGGAGCGGTCTCTCTCGTAGCGGAGTCGCATTTTTTCGGAGCATCGATTTCGAAGTTTTTTTTATCCGGAATTTCTTTTTCGGACTCTTTACGGAGTATTTTGATGGTAAACCCTTTTTTGAGGGTCGTGTTTTTATCCGAAGTATTTTTTGCGCAGTCGTGTCTCTGTCAGCGTCGTCTCTTTCCCATATTTCCCCTCCGAGTTTCTTCTTCACACTTCTTTCGGAGTATGTTTTTCCGACTCTTTTCGGGGTATCTTTTTCTGAATTTTTTCTTTTTATTAGATTTTCTTTTCAAGCCTCTTTTTCGGAGTCGTATTTTCTTTGAAAAGTTTCGGAGTATTTTTTCTGAAGTTTCTTTTTCTCAGGTTCTCTTTTAGAGTATCTTTTTCGAAGCCTCTTTTGGAAGTCTTTTTCAGAGTCTCTTTTTTGGGACGGTCTCCTTTTCGGAGTCGTCTTTTTCAAAGTCGTCTCTCTCGAAGCCGCGTTTTTTTTTTTAATATCTATTTCGAAAATTTTTCATCCGGAGTCTCTTTTTTGGAGTATCTTGATGGTAACCCCTTTTTGGCGTCTTTTTTTCCAAAGTATTATTTGCGGAATAGTCTGTTTTTCGGTTTTTCGGAGGTTCTGTTTTCAAGTCTTTTTTTTTTGGAACCATCTGTTTCTTAGGTGCTCTTTTCGAGTCTCTTTTTGATTCGGAGTCTCTTTTTTGCAGTTTTTTTTTGTCGAAGACGTCTCTTTTTCCGAGTCGTCTCTTTCGAAATCATCCCTTTTTCAGACTTGCCTCTTTCTCAGATTCTCTTTCGGAATCCATTTTTCGGACCATCTTTTTCGGAATTGTCTCTTACTTGGATCCCCTTTTCGAGTCTCTTTTTCGGAGTCGTCTCTCTTTCGGAGTCGTATTTTCTTCGAAGTCCCTCCGGACCTTTTTTCGGAGTATCTTTTCTTCTCTTTTTTCGGAACCTTTTTTTTTCAGAGTATATTTTTCGAAGCCTCTTTTCGAGGTTTTTTCGGAATGTCTTTTTTGGAAGCGTCTCTTTTTCAAAGTTGTACCTTTCGTTGTCGTCTCTTTAGGAGTCCCCCTTTTAGGAGTAGTCGCTTTAGGAATCGTCTCTTTTCCTGAGTCGCCCCTTTGTCTGAGTCGTCCCTTCTTCTAGGTCGTCCCTGCTTCTGGGTCGTCCCTTCTTCTGGGTCGTTCCTTCTTCTGAGTTGTCCCTTCTTCTGTATCAATAATTTTTCTGAGTCGTCCCGTCTGAGTCGAGAGCAGTAAAAAAAGACGACAAAGACAGGCATGAATTTTTAGAGATTTGTCTTTGATATAATTTTCGTTTTATCAGAGTGTCGTCAATTTGAAAGTTTGAGTTGACAGTGCAACGAACAAAAATAAACCTTCAAAACAAATTATATGCTGCATTTATTATTATTAGTGTTATTATTAAGACCCACCACTGACCCGGAAATGACCGGCATTCAGGCAAGACTTCTATCATTACGGGTACTAAGACCAAGTAATGATATGCATTGATTAGATTAACAGAAAAACTTTCGAGATTCTAGAATTACAGCATACAAATTAGTCTGCTATTATTCTCTAATCTCTATTATTATTTTTTTTTAATAAAACGAACGAAGTGGCACTTCTGCATTTTTTATTTAATTCTTTTATGAGCTAGCTACAAGGATCTGGTTCAGTAGTTCATACCATTTCACAAACATGCGACTTTAACTGAATAATGTTCCAGGTGTCTTATTACATGGGCCTCCAGGCTGCGGCAAAACCCTCATAGCCAAAGCCACAGCGCGAGAAGCAGGCACGCGTTTCATCAACCTCGACTTATCCATCCTCACCGATAAATGGTACGGCGAGAGCCAAAAGCTAGCGGCCGCCGTCTTCACCCTAGCAGTGAAACTCCAACCCTGCATCATCTTCATCGACGAAATCGACTCCTTTCTCCGCTCTCGAAACACCACAGACCACGAAGCCACGGCAATGATGAAAGCACAGTTCATGTCACTGTGGGACGGCTTGATCACCGACCCCACCTGCACGGTGATCGTCATGGGGGCCACCAACCGGCCGCAGGATCTAGACCGCGCGATTCTGAGGCGCATGCCCGCCACATTCCACATTCCAATGCCCAGTGCTGTCCAGAGGAAAAAGATTCTGAGTCTTACGTTAGAAAATGAGCCGATCGCCGAAGATGTCGACGTGGAGAAGATGGCACGGCTGACGGATGGCTTTTCGGGGTCGGATTTGAGGGAGTTGTGCAGGAACGGGTCGGTTTATAGGGTGAGGGATTACATGAAGAATCACAGTGAAGCTGTTATGGACTCGTCCGAGGATGAGTACCAAGACGCGCTGAGACCCATCACCATGGATGATTTAATGGTGTCGTTAAATAAAATGAAAGAGTCTAAAATGCATTGTGGGGGTTTACCAGTGAATAGAATTGAGTTGGATTAGCTACCGTGGTACCGCTACTTAGATCCCATTATTAATAATTTTGAAAGTACTGTAGAAATGTACCAGAATTTTTCAAATACTTTTAAACATTGTGTTAATTATCGAAAAGGACCTTAGTTTTTTCTTTTTATTATATTGTTTTTTTTTAATTACTATTATTTTAACCCAACTAGGCTGTGGTTGAGTATTAAGTTGGGTCTACTTTATTATTTAATAAAGTTTGTAAATATGTAGATTATTAAAGCCATTTCAGAAGTGTCAGCTTGCAAGTATTTACAGTGTTTAGTTTAATGACTTAGCTGTTAAGAAATAGCGTCGTAGGCGGTTACAACCACGTTCAAAACGTGAATTTTGAGTGCGGTATGCGCGGTGTTGTGAATTCAACATTGATCAGAGTGTTAAATTTTTTAAGCAATTAACCACAAAATCATTCAGGAGTACCAAAGTAGACTAGTATTGAAAAGTTTGACGCCTGATCAGTGCCAAATATGTGTACAGCACGCTCTCTGTAAGTTGCAACAAGTACAAACGTTCTTGATGTGTGTTTAAAATCAAATTTTTGCACGCCAGATTCATTACTTGGCTGTTTGTAGATGTCGTGCGATTGATTATTCAGCCAATGGTGTGATAATTCAACAGTTTCATTGCCTTGTTGGCATCATGGCTCGGTGTTAAATGAATTTTTTATCGTAGAAATTTATTAGTTAGTTTAAAAATTTAATAAACGTTATGGACCGTTTGTAGGAAATTTCATTTTCAATAACCTGAATAATGCACGAATGAAATGCGATCCAAAAAAAAAAAGTGGATTAGAGTTGACAATTGTTTTAGTGGTACTACTGCATGACTGTCAGCTGATTGGTCAGTTACGTGTCAAAAATTAAGCACAAGTTTCAAAGTGATCACTTTAAGGTTATGTTGACGTTGCAGCAGTACCACCGAAAGTTTGACAAGCAACGCCAACTCTGATGTATTTTATTTTCGATCGTACGTTATACCACGTGATAGAGTTGTCAAAATTTTTTAGATAACATTATTTGCATTCATTTTATGTCGCATGAATATCACGCGGTGTATCTGAGTAAATCAAATAGCGTTTTTTATATACTTGAGCGTTTACCATGTTCAAGCACGTGTGAACTAAATCTAAATGTAGATAAATTTTTGCAAAGATAATAGTGGTCGTATGTGTAATCAGTTCTCATGGCATATAAATTACATATTCTTGCTTCTTCAGCTCTGCACCAAAATTTTATACTTATGGGAAATAAATATGTGCTGATTCTGGGGTTATGTAATGCATTATTTGTTAGTAGATCTGCAAAACGAATTAATACTCGTAAGATAATTCCTTCGGTGGGTATTGTTGAATTTTTATTTAAAAAAAAAAAGTAGATTCGCTACTGCAACCAACTATACAATATAATTTTGTTTATTGTACAGGCGACTCAGTAATGGTCCTCGATATCCATATTAACTACTAGAGATGGAAAAGTCAAAGATTAAAGTTTACGACTCTTTGAGTAGCATACGTTAAAATTATTTTCGACTATACAAAGTGTCTTTTCACAACTTAGTTTTTTAAATAGAATATATTTTTACTTATTCTTATAATGTAGAGACATAAACAGAAAAACGCGCTTTGTTATAGTATCAATTAAATAAAGTTTTAATATATACAGAGTGTTTATTATTGTTAAATTTAAGTTTACGATATCAGCAGGAGGATATATTTTGTAATTTTTCTTTTGAATTAGTTTAGAAATTGTAATACATTTTACTAAATTCGTATGTTTAGCACGATCTTCAGGGTTAAGTTAACAGCGCCATATGTGAGAAAATATCAGCTTTTTGTTTCGATCTGTCTGTCAGTTTCCGTTTGATGTCGAGGACAAAAGTAATTCCGGAATTCTCAAAAAAATTCTGGGACCTGCTGAATTAAAAAATATAGCGCTTTTATGGTCTCTGGGACAATTTTTGAAGTATACGGTGTGATAACCCAAACATCCCGCCTTAAATTGACATGTGAAAAAAATTAAAAGCCCGCGAAAAATTCAAAAATTTGGTCTTGGCCTTGGAATCTACGTTGTGTGCTTTTTTGTGGCGGAATGCGTTCAGATGCAAGTGGTGGACCCCAAGGTTGAAAAAGTACCGCTAAATAAAACACCAAATATATTATATTATATTATAAAAATTATTTATTCCTCCACTGACAACTCCGCTCAGCTACAAAAAAAACTTGCGTAACTTTGAATGAAATCAAATTAAATGTTCTGAATCAATGCAAATATTTGAATATCACAAATTTAACAGAACAAAGAAAAAAATCTGAAGTAAAGTATTACTACTAAGTTATTATTATCTCTATTTCATTCTAGAACACAGCAGAATTACCCATAGGGGGTGTTGTAGGACGAGCGGAGTTTGGGGCTCCTGGTCGTGGCTGTTCTCCTACCCACGACGGTGATTCTATCTATCGCAAGCACTGCCGCCCAGCACCCCTCTGTGTTATGTGTTATTTAACCTCAAGTCCAATTAAATATTCATTTTCTATAACTCTGATATTAACGACAACTGAACAAGTGTTAAAGTTTCAAAACAATAAACAACTTTTAAATTCGCCATACCCTCTCGTAAAATTTTAAAACAGCAAAGAATTCTTATCTGAGATTAAGATTGGACAGCAGACATTTTATATGATGGAAACATTAATCAACAAAATATTTACAAAAAAAAAAAAAAAAAAACTAGCAAAGATTTATGAAACAAAAAAAAACAATTTGGTGTGAAGTAAAACTTGTGCAGATAAAAAGTTACGTGAGGTTAGAAACTGCAGAGCATGAAAATTACTGAAGTTAAAATTGTGAGATAGAGAAAAATTTGCATGAGGTGAAAAATTGCAAAAGCAAACAAAATTACATGAATTTAAAGTTTTATGTCCATTCGAGTTATTGGTTAATTTTTAGAAGTGAAGTTATTCATCTGCATTGTGGGTCATTGTTTTAGATTCCCCCAAAGAAACACAAAAAAACATAGCAAGCAATTTGGAGGTTCAAAATGGCGTCGGACGAATGCATCGTTCAAGAAATGCGTCAAAAATGTTTCTCCCAGAAATGTGATCAATGCTGTGGTGCTGTGCAAATAATGGTCTAAATCGAAGGAATAAAAATGTTCATCGAGATTTTACAGTTCAAACATGTGCTCGGTTTGAAAATACTTTTTCAACATGGCCGCTGCCAGAATAAAGAATTTACCTGATGTTAAATTATGCCACACTTTGTCAACGATTCAAACAAATAATTTACATTATGTTAAATGATGCCACACTTTATCAGCGATTCAAACAGAGAATTTACGTGATGTGAAATTCTGCCTTGTTCCAAGTGCTTGGTTACTTAAAACTTAAAACAATTAGCTTTGAGAGTTTATACTGTCCCCAGCTTATCCCAAACAAACACATGATAAATAATCACAAAATGCATCACGCGTTCCAAGAAAAGGCTTCTCAGTGATGTAATTTTCCATGTTGTGAGAAAATGTCTCCTTGATGTAATGATGATATGATGGTAATAACTGCTTAAGAGGAGAAATTTTTAATCCCCCCATACCTGAGTTCCAATAGTATGAATTCTACCGCACTTTCACGGTCCTTTTCCCAAACTAGGACAACATTAGGTTAATTTAACTGCCGTTAATGAACTATTAGAAATCTTGTGTGAGGAATTAAGAAGTGTTATAATGTAACACTTAAGTATAAGCGTCCAGAAACCTTATTCATAATGCAATAAACAAACACTAATGAATTTCATGAAATCTCCTAACAAGCGCCCTATCTAGACAAACTCCTGACTGTTAAATTATATTAAAACCGGTTAACGATTAAAATCCTAACATGAACTGTGAATTTACAAACAATAAAACAAATTTACACTACGTTTGGCGTCGGTCGAAAATTCGCATCTTTCCGCTTCAAAAACCGCAAGAATTAGCTGTGGCGTCGTCGTTCTTACGATTGATTGTCGTTAAACAAAGGCTTCCCCCTTTTTTATTAACTACCAAACCAACTAAACTTAACCTAGCTTACTCACCATATGATTTCACACACACAAATAAACTAAAAATGACGCCACCGAATAACTCATCTACCAAGTCAGACACATTCTTCTTTTTTTTCTTTCTCTCTCACTAAAATTCCGTAGCAGAACTACCAGCTACCAGAAAGAACTAAACGTGCACATGGTTGCCTACGTTTAACGATTTTCTTGATTGAATTTTTTTCAAATTCAAATTATTCAAATGTGATTTCGCGCCGCTGTTAATTTATTTTTAATGCGAAATTTTAATTCAAATTCGGTTTGAAATGCAATTAAAAAAATCAAAAACTTGTCACATTCTGGGCGATTATGAAAAAACGCTAGGACTTGGTGAAATGAGACCGAAAGTATCTTTTGGAGGTACAAATCCAAAAAAATTCTTTAGTGAACTTCCGAAGCAAAAAAAAAGAAAAATTCCAAAATTTTCATTAGGGGGATTGACTTCAAAAAAAAACTAAAAATCCTCAAAAAATCCTGGGATGGGTATCGATTTCGACGTGCTGATTCCAAAAATGTAGCGTTTATATGACCCCAATGCAAGATTTTAGAAATATTTGGTTTGAAATGCAATTTTTTTTTAAATCCAGAAACTTTCATATTTCAAGGTGCGATTCTGAAAAAATAATGGGGGTTATCGTAGAAATGTAGCCGAAAGTAACTTCTGGAAGTCGAAATGAGCAAGAAATAGTCTTGAGTTAAGCTTTGAAGGTGGTTGAAAAATTTCGAAATTTTGGTTTTAAAAATATTATGGAAAAACTCAAAAATTCTGACAGATTTGTTTCGACGTGCTAATTCCAAAAATATAGTATCTTTAGGGTCCCTGGAGCAAATTTTAGAAATATTCTTCGGTCTGAAATGCAATTTAAAAAAATCCAAAAATTTTCATAATTCAAGCGGCGATTCTGCAAAAATGGTAGGAGTTGTCGCAGAAATGTGGCCAAAAATAACTTCTGGAGGTGAAATGTACAACAAAATATTTTTAAGTAGCTAAGTAATATATCGTTTCTGGCTCATTTTGTCCTGAGGTAGAAACAGCAGTCCGGAGTCGACAAAAAGTCAGGTCAAATGAGGTCAAAGTGAACCAGAAACCCCACTACTTAAGTAAAAAAATACACATTACACTTTTCAGATATTACGATTTCAGTTTTTTCAAATAGAATACATAGAAGTGAAAAATCTCAGCAACCATCAACTTTAAATATGGAAAATATTTAACAATAAGAATGAGAACAAAAGCAGAATGAGATGCAATAATAAAATACAGGCTGTTCTATTGGAAAAAACTGAAATATCCAGATTTTTAAAATTATCATAATTTAATTTTACACTGAATCGTAAGTAAAAATATATCCTGTATTCAAAATTTCTATATATTCGGTTCGACGACTGTTATGAGCTTTAAAAAAACATTTTGTATTACGTTGGCGAAAGAAGAAACAAAATCATTTTGAATTTTAATGTTAACTTTTTTAGGACACAGTATGTACTTTGATTAAAAAAAGTGTTTACAAAAATAATGTGACTATTGTATCACTGCCTGAAATATATATTTTTTTATCATTTGAACTAAATAAAATTTGTAGTATTATTTTAAGTACAAGTGTTATCAGACTGCTGTTTACCGTTTCCGTCTACCTGTCTGTCTTATATTGGCCTTCTATTCTTATCTGTGTACTGGAAGATTTTAGGAGATAATCTACAGGTCAGCGTAAATTTTGAAGTATATTTTAAGATTGTTGTGACGATAAAACGTTAATCAAAATTTGTCTATTCATCTTTTACAAAAAATTATCACCATATCTCACAATAGTACTACGTAAATAAATGTCATTTAAAACATGCAACGTGACATGCTGTTTTATTAATAGTAGCTTAACAATTCGCGCCATTTTTCAATTTGTGTGTATAGAATAATCTAAAAAAAATTACATACTTGGGTAAGACCACGGAGGTAGAAGAGACTACTACTTCTACCTCCGTGGTTAAGACTGATCTAGAGATCACAGAATATTAAATAATTAAGATATACAGAATGATCAACAATTACTGTTTGCAATTGATAGAACTGTCACCCCACCTTACTTCCTATAGTCAAAATTGACATGGTTTGTTACTGGTTAAATGATTATTATTAAAATGTCTTACCTTAACTTTTTTGTGCGCTTAAAAGTGACATGGCGCCAACCATTTAGATCAGGTTGAGCAATTGCAGCACAAGAAAAATGTGTTTCATAAATGTCAAATCGGACAAGGAACGCGTTGGTGTTGCCAACATAATTTTTTATATTAAATTTCAAAGCTTGCTTATGGATTTTTCCATCATACGGTACTAAATAACCATGTTATGAAACAAAACAAACGAGTGTGGAATTGTTTCTCATACATACAATGAGTAATGTTTAATGTCACATGACAGGATACAAGAGTTGAAAAAACATATTCGACACGTCTTACAGAAGAAAATAAATGATTAAAAATGTATTTATTAGAACTAATTGACGCAGTTATCTAAATAACCTTCAGCCCCTTCGTTTCCAGCTGATCTATCTGTCAATATATTTCCTAATAAGCCATATATTGGTTTTGAAGTAAAAATTAAACGATTATGTACAGGGTCATCAAAATTGATTGAGAGAGTTGGTACCCCCTGTTTTTGTCGTGAAGTTTGTCAACCTTATGACAGATTTGTTTAAGGTTATATGGCAATGAATTCAGTGGCGTGACAAAAATTAGAAACTTCAAATCTGACAACTAATGTTTTTACCAAAAAAAAAGTCGAAAAAAGACGCCACTGAGTTTTGAAATTTGAAACTTGAAACTTCAAATCTGACAGCTAATATTTTTATACAACTTAATAAACCAAATTATTCAAGTTCAGGTTTACCAACTCTCTCAATCAATTTTGATGACTCTGTATATGAACGTGCAGCGAACATATATCAAACACTTCTCCTTTCCATGCGATACTTTTCAATTAAAGGTAGTTAGAATATAGATATATAATAACTTATTATGATTTACGTAGGTAGCTAGTTTGTGTAAAAATAAGATTTCTTTGATTTTATGAAGTGTCAGACTCGGTGTCAAAATGGATAAACGTCAGTTGGCAACTATGACACATGTCAAGTCAAACACGACGAAACCGAAAAACCCCCAATACATTGATTTTAAATAACAGTTAATCACAGTGACGAGATTTTGATATGAGAAATTATTAAATTACCCACAACGGTCTGTTGTGGGTAATTTAAATTAAGTCATTTAAAAATTTTCATGATTAACGTGGTAATTAATATAAGAAATTAAAAGGCAACACAGCTTTTCCGGCCTGGTTATAATTTATGAAATGTCTCTACAACCTTCACATATATTTAATGATTTCTATAACGCATAAATCTACAACAAACATACCGCATTTTTTATGCATAGTGTATACATGCATATATTATGTTGTTATTTAACATAGTCAATTATTCTTATGATTTATGTCTTCGTACAATTCACCGATTTTATAAATATAGGGATAGAACCTACACATGTGAAGGATAATTATCTTTTTTACATGTCGGCTTAATTAACACCACATACCTATTTGCACAAGAATCAGCAAAAATGTGTAATTAAGACATATAATATTAATCTAAATGTAATTAACAATAACTCATACGATATTTAATTACATACTCATAAAACATACCACAGTTGTTGAACGAATAACACGGAAATTAATTACAGCGCCATATAGACATAATAAATGCATTCTATTTTTGTCACATCTTTCAATCTTCCTACTTTTGAAACACAATATGTAATTCCTACACCACCCACTATTCTTTACATAAGTTCGTAAACCTCGATAATCTTCAGAATATTCTGCACTAAGTAAGCTTCTCGTGGGCGGACCTTACTTTGAGTAGCATTCTCAGTCAGAACGCTTCTTAAGCCAGACAAAATTAATTTACCTTCATCTTTATTATTGTTTATGAAATTTCTGCCTATTATGTCGTTCAAAATAAACAAATAAGTTAAATAATTTTCAAAAATGTAACCGTCCACAGGCTTACTGAGGTCCATAGTTTTAACATGTTCGTAGAATGTTTTCACTTCCTCGTTTAAAAATTTAACCGTTGGAGCACTATAAACTGGGTGTTTACCTAACTCTATGATGATATTCCGTACGATGTTAAACAGATGAAACTGAAACAAAATAATATTTTACTAATCATTTCGTATTTTTTTTTACCTTCGTTTCGCAGTTCTCACGATTCAGTTCTTTTACCATCTGGATCAGTTTTCTCTGGAAGAGTATAATTATGTCGTCGACGCTCGAGTTATTCCAGGTGGAATATTTTCTAAACACGAAGATACAAACTTGGAGGGCTTTAAAATCGTGAAGAATTGAAGCTGCATCTTCACTTGTACACCTGTTCAACTTGACTATTATATAAAATAACATCTTTCTCAACATGTAGACAAATTTTTCTAAAACTTGGTGTTTTGTTAACTCTTTGCAGATTTCAGATGTTGGCACAAATCGGTTTTTCAAATTTTCTGGAGCTTCTGGAACGCTGGTGGACAATTTTTTCACAGTGTCGTCTAAGCAACACATACGAACTTCGTGGAGTTCTTCCATTATTGCTGCGATGTTCCTTAAGCGATTGACTATGGCTCTATATTTTTTCGTCGGGAACGGGTCTATGTAGAGGTTTTCTAAAGCTTCGATGAGACTGAATTCAGCCATTGTCTGTCAAAAATTAAACGAATATTATTTGTATACTTTGTATTTAAGTTTTTTAAATGTGCTAGATTGTGGCTGATACCTACGTCAACCCAATTCCAAATTTTTTACGCGGAACTTAGTTTGAAAAAACTAGACTGCAGTGTAATGAAACGATTTAGGACTGAATCACTAAAACTGAAAGTATTTTTACCGTTATTTTTGTATAAACTGGGAGATTATAGATCTGTTTATTTGTATTCGCTATAACACAAATTATATTAATCGAAAAAAGGTGGATATCCAGCCGAGCATGTACAAGTTTATAATCGACCTACTCAAAAAGGTAGGATGACTTATAAAAGTCAACAGCTGTAAAATTAAAGCAGAACAGGAAAGAGAATGATTTTATTGTTTATTTGATTACAAATGATATTATAAATCATAGTGAAATTGTAACGTTGCGTCAGTGAATAAGTGAATAACTCAAGGGTTTGATCTCGATAATGCCACCTTTAAAAATGATAAAATTTTATGTGCCGTTGTTCAGCTAATGGGTACGAATAAGAAAGGTAGGATCAAGCTCGCCAAAATGCGAAAAATTGGTAATTTCATTGTAAGTATTTTTATTTTGCTTGTAAAGTTGTTAGGATAATTAATCAAGTTTGCTTCATTTTGCATTAAAAACACAGAATTTGCATTGTTTATAATAAGAAATGCGAGTTGCAATTATTTAAGGTGAATCACGATGCATAAATCTGACATTTGACAGCCTGTAATTAGTCGGGTTTATCATTACCACGAAGCGCAAATCACAGCCAACTTGAATGAACAACAATTTTAATTATTTCCATAGTCACTTGAACATAACGCTTCAACATTAACACGTTTAAAAAAAAGAATGATAATTAATACATAAACATTTTTTTTTGAAATTATTGAATCATCGTTTTGTTGAATGGAATTTGCACATAATGGAATTGCTGGATTTTTTAAATTCATTACGATTGTTTTACAATATTAGTGCAGGTATCAGTCTGGACAACTTCGGGTAATTTTTTGGGATTCGTTTTAATTATTTATTATTTCGATTAACAATACATTTTGTATACAATTTAACAGTGTAATAAATTATTTTCACTGTCCCAGTAATAGATGTGAAATATGATAGTAGTCATTTTGATAAATATCCAATTTTATACTTTCGCGCATTTTCGGGCTTATAGAGTACGAAAATGCAAGTTTCTCAATTTCACATGTTGTCGATTTTATTAGTTAGTCTCAGAAACTCTTTGATCGACTTTCCGTCATGTCAAATTACCGTCAATTTGAAACTTTCAAAAATCCATGCCGTCTTCGATCGTTTTTTTTTATTGGTCTCTCCGTATTATATTGTAACCAACAAAAAAATGATGACGTAATTTCAAAATTTTGCTAAGTGTGTGTTTAAATGCGCAGTGTGACGTGCTGTCTTACCTGTACTTTAATAATCCATTCTCTTTGCACATAGAGGTGATCCTAAGAACAAATAAAGATTATTAAACAATTTTACACTTTATTAAATACATACGCATTTCTTTGAAATTTTGTAAGACATAAACATTGATTTAGTGATTACACTAGCTTCTACATTTTACTTATTCACACTTTCCAGAAACTGATGAAGTCATCTAAAAGATGGTTGAAAGTCGTCTACGACCAATGCATGAAGAAGAGTATTTTTTAGTAATTTTTCCACATTTATTTAGTATTTTAACAAAATTTCAAAAATTTGTAATGTAGACAAATTGAACATTTTTATTCTATACCGGGTGTCTGAAAAATGGCAAATTAACTCTTCAGTACGTACGTAAAAACTCGTAGTTTCCAAATTTTGATAATTTTTTGTAGTTAGTCATGAGTACTTGCTAAGATAAAACTGATTTTGGCAAATGAGGTACCCTCTAAGAAAAGAGAGGGTGGGTGGGCGGGGCTAGTAGCAGCTAAAATAAGACCGATTTTGGCAAATGACAAACGTTGCAAAAGAACCAATTTTAAAATCATTATAATTCCACCAAAATGTGAGAAGGATTTTTTTTGCTATTTTTTCCGGACTCACCAGTTGATTGTTAACAGCCTAGCGGAGAGTTAATCCGCTATTTTCCAGACACCCTGTATACATTTTATTTTTTAAGGAAATTGTATACGTAAGTTTAAAAATATCGACACACTATTACTTAAACAATGTAACAAATAAAATTCAAGCTAGAGTTATGGAGGGTTTATTTATATTTACATTTATTTAAAAAGATAGTCATCTGTCATCTAAAGTTTAATTTAATATTTTGACATGTGACTTGATTTGACTTCTGTCATTTCCGTTCTGTTTTTTGTCCAATTGCCATCAATTTATTAATCAAACGACATTGACCGTATAATATAAGACGTAAAATGTTAGAAATTTGTCATAGGTGAAAAAATAACCGTCACAACTAAGCAACAGCGCATTATCACCATTACTTGGCAAAATATTGAGATGACGTCACCAAATCGTTGGTGGGGGTTAACAAAACAGTTTCGGTTAGCGTTTTACGGTCTCCACGATAATTTTAAAGTTTAGGAGATTATCTGCCTAATAAAAAGCCGAGAGACAGACGAAAATATCGATATTTTCAGGTTGTACATACTCTAAGACATTGAGAAAACATGAAATTAGACATTCGATAAAATAACTCGATTGGTGTAAAGTTTGACGAAAGATTTTTCAGTGGATTCGTCATAAAATTCAATAAATATAAAGAATAGATAGGTGTTATATCGAAATAAATTTTATTTGGTACTTACAATAAGAAATGGTTTTTGTAGCCACTATGACGAACTCGTAAAAAATACCGTAAATTGAGTAGCAATTAAGCCATAACCGAATATGTACCTTCCCTAGAACTTTACTTCCCTAATTTATACTAGGGAAGTAAAAATAATGGTGATCAAATCTCATTAATTATTAAAAACAGAAAAAAGTGTAAGTTCTACAGTTCGTTGAAGACTAAACTTATTTTCAATTATACAAAGTGTTCCGTTTTTATGACTCCAATGTATTTTTTTCTACCGTGCACGTTTTTTGGTTTTCTAATAGAGCTATTAAAGCACGCAAATGACGTCACAGCGGAAAGGCGTTCTTTAATATATCTGGTGTAATTTAGATCGGTAAGATTGGTAGTCATGACGAGAAATGTCAGGTGAATGTCAGTGGCAAATGTCAAATTAAAATTTCGCGTATTTCCAGAGGCCTAAGAACTGCACTAATTTCTTTACAAGACATTTTAACCAATTTTAACTTACAAAAATTCGAATTGATTCGAATTACAGTTGTTGTGAAAATTCGAACCTCAAATATTTCGTGGTTAGTGTCAGAGCAACCCATCACCAATCACGACAAAATTCCCCAGATTTAAAAAAATGCAAATTTCAATTAAATTTTGGAAAAAAACGTGCGCAGTAGAAAAAATAGTGTAAATAACTCGTTCGTAAGGCCATTGATTATATACTTTGACCTCTTCTTAGGCTTTACAATCATAGCTTATTGAATGATTCACAAAAATCACAAAATCTGGCTTACTGTATTTTGTGGAAAGATAAATGAAGAAATTAGGTTATGTGTACAGCACTAGGTACAGTTGAAAATAACTTTAGTGTAAGCTACTTAAAGAGGCGTACAACTTTATTCTGTGACTTTTTTGTATCTCCAATACTTATTACCCTGTATAGTTTTTTTTTGGCAATGATTTTCATTTTAACGTGTTAATTAACAGAAAAATGGCAGTGAGCTCAGTTCCTGGGATACCCTATATATTTCGTTCTACAGAAATTTCAGCCAAAAAATCAAAAATCTGTATACAGGATGACAAAAAAATACCGGACAAACTCAACCATACATTATAAAATTCACAAATTCTTTTGTTTCAAATACGTCAATTTGACGTTCACCAAAAAAATAAAATGTTGATTTAAGTAGATTAGATTATTTGTTTAAGATTTTGTCTATTATAAAATGAAAAAAACGATGAATAAAAGATATACTTTCAAAATTATTTTGAAAAATGAAAGTTCGATCAAGTAAGTAGTAATATCGTGAAATATCGAAAAGAAAAATTATAATTTGGATGTCTATATGTTCTACATTGGATTTTTTAAATGATTTCACTCAATAAACAGTGCTTAGCAACGTGTCATTGAGTTACTGCGCAATTTTTTGATCACTGTGTGTATTGTCGGCTCGCTGAAATAGTGAACAATGACATTTTATTTTATTTAGGGCATCCATAAACCGTTTAAGATTATGGTAATGATAATTTACAGTCCCCACTGCTTGCCTGAAAGGACTAAAGGTAAAATAAGCAACCCAAAAGCAGGTAAATGTTGTAAATCATTGCTATTATAATCCGGAACGGTTTTTCCATACATCACTTGGAAAATTATTGTCTGAAACTACACTGTAAGAAAAAAAACAAACAAACAAACAATTAGTTAAACAAATGGTTTTTGTGAGATTGAACATTATAAAAGACTTAAGAAATATTAAAAAAATATTTCTATTTATAAAAGTTTACCAAGGATTATCTCGGTATAAGTAAACTGTTTAAATTAGTTACATATTTGAAATTTAATTATAGATCTGGACCTTACCCTGCACTAATTTTTCTTAAATATTTTGAAATGACAAACACAGTTACAGCACCGTGACAGTTAAATTTGACATTTGGGGGCAACATAACGAAAAAAAAATTTTTTGATTGACACGTGTAGTATTATTTACACATAATTTTGATAAAACTGTGTGAGAAAAGGAGCATTTTCTGGAATTATACGACGGAATTAACATTACGCCATGTAAATTTTGAGTAAATTTACTAAATACGAAGTCAAATATGCACGAGGCTTAAACACAGGAAAACCCACATAGATTTGGTCCGCAGTCCTAGAAACGCCAGTTGGGGATTTAATTACGGTAGATATGGAGTGGAAGATAATTAAATTTTATGGGTGATACGTAACACCGAGTTCATATGTATCACGTTTTGTTACCAAGCCGTCTATCGCTCATGCCGGTTTCCGTTGACTCAAAAGGTACATAACTGATACGAAAGAAAAAAAAATCCGTCCCACCAATCGCATAATCCCCAGATAACATTTCCGAGAAACCGGTGCGAATTCTGCGAATTTCTTCGGCCCAGCGCGTGTCGTCAGCCCATATTCGGCGTACCGTTTCCTGGTGACACATTGTGTAAATGCTAATGGAACCGAACTGATTGTATGCAAAGCCGGTGAGTTGTCAGTCATCGTTTCGCAATCCCCCAGCGACCATTTGCTCGCAATGAAGGAACCCGAGCGGAAATTGCGGTTTCTTTTCATTCATTTGCCCGAAATTACGAAATTCCCGGTTTCTCCGAAGCGCCATCTGGTGGTGGACAGGTCGGGCGCTGCAGTTGCCTGCACTGGATCTGTGTCGAGTCGCGAGTAGTGCCGTAAAAAAGACAAAGACGTTTGACAGTGCGAGCGATTTTTTGCCCAAAGTGCCCAGAATCGGCCCCATTTCCCCGAAGGACGCGACCCATCCGCCCGTGGAGCCCGCAATGGGGCCCAGTGAGTGATGTCGGCGGCCTGGAGCGCGCTGGAACGCATGTGTCTTAATCGCCAGTGCGGACGTCCACAGCGGTCCTTCCTGCCTTTAAAGGGCCCCGTCGGGGGGCAGCGCCCGCGCTCGACGGACCCCGGGGCCCCGGGCCCCCTGTGACGCCGCTCGCGCGACTGCTGGCCCAAAATTGTGTCTCTCGGGCAGTGTGCGATTTTTTCAATGTTACCAACATTGTCCAGTGCACAACATCAATTTATAAACATTTCGCGGACCCAAGAAGCAGCACTTTTATGGGGCTGTGCTCCAGTTGCGGCAAATCCAAGGACCGATTTAAAGGTAAGGCCGTTGCGCCCCTCCTACCCCGCGACAGATTTATTTATACAGCGCGGCTCAAGAAAGTCCATTTAAATCGTGATTTTTACCAGTGACATAATATCGCACAGATAACATTACCTTGAAGGTCGCACTATGTAAATAGTTCCGCTTCTGCTCGTGTAAACAATTTTTCGGCCTCCCCCTACCCCGCGGTGCGGCCCTGGCGAAGGGAATTCTTGGAAAGGGTTGGCAGGTCGAAGCACACATGTATGTGAAGGTCGTTCTGTGTTCTGTTACCGGGCCTGTGAAGGGCCAGTCAAGGGCACCGTGGGTAAATGAGCCGGTTTCCATCACGAATTCAACACTCTTGGATTGTTTATATTCAGGTTATTTATAGGATAATTTGGGAAAAGTTCCTTAGCACACTTCCTTTTACACCATCCGGCTAAAACGACACGTTTTCATCCAGGAAGTGTAGGATTTTCAGCATTCTAACACGTATAAAGATAAATAAAGTCACGAATTAGAATTACAAGACCATTGAGTGACCTATTTTCTCATTCACATCACTTATAAAAATTGCACAAATCATTAGGATTTCAACAGATGAGTGCGAGTTGAATTTTCATATCATTTTCCGGTGTGGTATTTAGGTCAACATTGATTTTCATATCTTTTTATGAGGCACTTGCACTTTATTTCAAATAAATTCAAACTTAATTAGTTTTTCCAAGATGATCTAACTTACTACATTTTTCTGCTTGCGTTTGATAATCGTCTGATGCAATGTGAACACCTATGGTTTTACATCGATATTAGTAATTTTCCAGGAAATCTGTCGATGAATAAAGCGTTCAATATAAACGACACCTTTTCAATAGTTTTAATTGCTCGTTAAGTTAGAACGAAAGCTTTAATGCGTTGCTTATGTGAAAATGTCTCGCCAACAAAAATATGAATACTCTTTTTTAGTCTCTTCCAGTGTATTAAAGTCCGGTATAAACAATAAAAAAAATACGAGTGCATTGATAAACCGTAAGTGTAGACTTATAATATTTTACACAGTAAAATTTTGAGATGTTTCTAAATTGAATTGTAAAATGTAACACAATTTAGATTTTTTCCCAAAAATGTGTATGTCGAAGATAAAAAGTCAAGGTGAATTCATAAACCACAGGTATAGAAATATGTTCTGCTATAAAATTTTAATAGCGTTTATTACGCAACATTTTAGTTGACATCATCAAATTGTTGTTGGGATTATCAGATAAATTTTGGTTAGCGCTTTACCATCTACATGATGTTCCTAAAATATATGTAAACTTCTGCAACAGTCAATCCATAGAGATTATCTATCTAATAAATTCCTCAACATTTTATAAATTAGTAATTTAAATTATATTTTTTCTTCAATCCAGTGTGTCTTTTTTATTGATTAAAGTCCATTTTCAAGGTGTTGCGCTAAAGCGAATTTGTGACTGTTATAAACAGTCTAATTGGTGTCGCTGTGTGGGAAATTCGGTTTGCGGCGACGCTAAGTCGGCTTGAAATAGGGCCCTGAGGCGATAAATTTGCTCCACGAATAAAGAAAAGCGGTTAATTGTGCTTTTAATTAATTAAGAACGCTCTTATTTTCAAGCAGGTGATAATAAAGGCGTTAAACAAACTAAGTTTTGGAGACCTAAAATTTTAGGACGCAGCAGCGCTTTGGCTTAAGACATAAAAATTACTAAATTCTTTTGAGCATTTCTTTTACGATTTTATTTTAGTTCAATTTATTGTATAGCTTCACTGACACCTGATTACTTAGAGCACACGAATCCCAGAATAGGTTTTTGTGTTTTAACGATTTTCTCACATGTCGGCTGATGGATTGTAATCGACGTCGACGCTTTGAGGTTGTTAATACAAACTTGATGGCCAACATTGTTTCCAGAACTTGCAGTTCATTATTCACGTAATCACGTTAATGTAGGAAATGTAATGCGATTTTCAGGCTTGCTATTAGTGTATTTTTAAATTGTCACTTTCTATTGTAATAATAATAAATTAAATTCATTTTTATCTTGATCAGTTAGTTGTGTTTAGTTGTGAAGATAAAATATAATATTACATTTACAGCTGTGGTTACGTCAGTATAAAATTCGTATATGGTGTGAGATACGAAGCGGTGTACACTTTGTATTCAGAATATTTCCGTTCATAATCGCTCCAAACCTTTTATCAAAGACACAATCTACATACATTTTTTTTTATCTAAAATTTAGTTGCATTACAATGTGTTTCATTATCACTATTATAATATTGATGTTGTAATGTTTCAACCTAAGCTGTGTTCATTATTTCTTAGAATTAAGTACTTCCAAGTAATTATAGGCTAAATAGGCTAAATAGCAAGAATTTAAAGGATTACAAATATTATGTAACTATTTTTATGAACTGATCATTAGATGCGAGTTTTTTTTAAGAACGAGCGGATCGAGTGTTTAAAAAACGAGTGTGAAGAGAACTGTTATGCTTTTCTACGACTTAAAATTAAAACCAAATTATCGAAAATCTGGAATTAATCTTAACAAAAAAAGTGGTCTAAAGTTATAAAAAATTGACAAAACCTAGTGACGTAAATAATGCTCCCCCAGTCACTGCGCCTCGACTGAAACTGAAAAATAGAAATATCGAGAAATCGAATATTGGAAACATTGAAACATTGGAATATGTATTGATAAATTAATGTAGGAATTGAGAAATCAAAAAATTTTAAAAATCGAATAATCCAAATTTAAAAATTCGAAAGTCGAAAGATCGAACAATCGAAACATCAAAAAATGGAAAAATTAAAATATCTAAAAATTGAAAAATCCAGAAATTGAAAGGTTCCCATAATTGAAATCTTGAAAAATCAATAAATGTAAAAATTGAAAAACCGAGACTTCAAGAAATCGCAAAACATCGTAAAAATTTAAAAAACTAAAAAATTAAAATACCGAAAAATTGAAAAACTGGAACATCGAGAAACGGAACATCGAAAAATTGAACAATCGAAGAATAATTGAAAAATCGAAAAACTGAGGAACCGGAAAATTGAAAAACCGAAAAGTCGAAAGATCGAGAAACCAAAACATCAAAAAACTGATAAATCCAAATTTAAAAATTCGAAAATTTGAAACAGAAAAATTGAAAAATCGAGAAATCGGAAAACCAAAAAATCGAAAAACTGAAAATCTAAAATTTAAAAATCCAAAAATTGAAAATTCGAAAAATCGAGCAATCGAATTATTGAAAAAATCCCAAAACTGAAATACCGAGAAATTGAAAAATCGAAGAATGAATGAAGAAACGAAAAATCGGAAAAATCTAAAATTTAAATGAAAACATTGAAAAATCAAGAAATCGAAAAATTGAATCGAAATATTGAAAAATCCCACAACTGAAATATCGAAAAATTGAACCAAAATACTGAAAAATACCAAAACTGGAGTATGGTAAATTGAGAAATCGAGTAAATTAAAAATCGAGAAACGAAAAGTCGAAAAATCGAAAATTTGAACAATTCGAAAATAAAAAAAGTCAAAAACCCGACAACTCGAAAAATTGAAAAATCGAAGAATCGAAAAATTTAAAAATCGGGAAATCGGAAAATCTAAGAGACGAAAAACCGAAAAATTTAAAAGTCGAAAAATTGAAAAATAGAAAAAGGAAAAAATTGAGAAATCGAAAAATGGAAAAGATGAAAAACCGACAAATTGAAGAATCCAAATATGTATTGAACAATCCCAAAACCGATAATTTGAAAAATTGAATATTCTAAAATTTAAAAATCGAAAAAATGAGATCGAGAAATCGAAAAATTGAACAATCAAATATTGAAAAATCCCACAACTGAAATATCGAAAAATTGACATCTGAAATTTAAAAATCGAAAAATTGAACCAAAATACCGAAAAATACCAAAACTGGAGTAGAAAAAGTAAAAAATTGAAAAATCGAAAAGATGAAAAACCGAAAAATTGAAGAATCCAAATATGTATTGAAGAATCCCAAAACCGATATATTAAAAAATTGAAAAATCTAAAACTTAAAATCGAGAAATCGAAAAGTCGAAAAATTGAAAAATCGAACGTTCGAAAAGGCGAAAAACTAAAAAATCGATTAATTGAGAAATTGAGAAATCGAAAAATCGAAAATTTAGAAATGCCAAAAACCAAAAATTGAAAAATTGAGATATCGAAAAATTTTAAAATCGAAAAATTGAAGATTTGAAAAATCCTAAAACTGAAACATTGGTAAATTGAGAAATCGAAAAATGAAAAAATCGAGAAATCGAAAATTTGAAGAAAAATAAAAAATCTTAACACTGAAACATCAAGAAATTGGTGAATCCAAATATGTATTGAACAATCCCAAAACCGATATATTGAAAAATTGAAAAATTCAAAATTTAAAAATCGAAAAATTGAAAAATCGAAAAGACGAAAAACCGAAAAATTTAATCGAAATGTTGAAAAATACCACAACTGAAATACCGAAAAATTGACATCTGAAATTTAAAAATCGAAAAATTCAACCAAAATGATGAAAAATACCAAAACTGGAGTATGGTAAATTGAGAAATCGAGTAAATTAAAAATCGAGAAACGAAAAGTCGAAAAATCAAAAATCTTAACCATCCGATAATAAAAAAATCAAAAACCCGAGAACTTGAAGAATGAAAAATCGAAGAAAAGAAAAATTGAAAAATCGAACAATCGAAAAATTGAAAAATCGAGAAATCGGAAAATCGAAGAGACGAAAAACCGAAAAATTGAATCACAATATTGAAAAATTGAGACATCTAAAATTTAAAAGTTGAAAAATTGAAAAATACAAAAAGTAAAAAATTGATAAATCGAAAAATGGAAAAGATGAAAAACCGACAAATAGAACACTCCAAATATGTATTGAACAATCCCAAAACCGATATATTGAAAAATTGAAGAATCTAAAATTTAAAAATCGAAAAAATGAGATCGAGAAATCGAAAAATCGAAAAATTGAACAATCAAATATTGAAAAATCCCACAATGAAATATCGAAAAATTGACATTTAAAATTTAAAAATCGAAAATTGAACCAAAATACTGAAAAATACCAAAACTGCAGTATAAAAAGTAAAAAATTGAAAAATCGAAAAAATGAAAAACCGAAAAATTGAAGAATCCAAATATGTATTGAACAATCCCAAAACCGATATATTGAAAAATTGAAAAATCTAAAACTTAAAAATCGAAAAAGTGAGATCGAGAAAATTAAAAATCGAGAAATCGAAAAGTCGAAAAATCGAAAATTTGAACACTCTGAAAATTAAAAAATCAAAAACCCGAGAACTCGAAAAATTGAAAAATCGAAGAATCGAAAAATTTAAAAATCGAGAAATCGGAAAATCGAAGAAACGAAAAACCGAGAAAATTAATCGAAATATTGAAAAATTGA